ACTCCAGACAACTTGGTTCACTCATATCAACAGAACTTGGTTGTGAAACAACTGAGTTGGTGTGAACTGTTCAGATTTGGTGGGATTGACAGATTCACACTTATTATCTGCACAAGTTATTTTTAACTTTATAAGACACAGGTCCTGTACATTGAACAATTTGACCTGGTATCCATTTTTCCTTTCTCCCATAATTTCTTAGATACACATTCTTATTAACACCAAATTCTCTTTCAATGAATGTTTGTCATGATTTAATGGAACTATTTTTGAATTGGCATCTGAAAGTATTATGCTATTATTCAGATCCTTGACTGACATAGATTTCTTTGATTGATCAATTTTCTCAGGTAATCTGATAGTGCTTTCCTGGTAACCAAAAATACTGTTTATGAGTAATATTCTGGACCATATCACTTTGCAACTGTGATCCAGTATTTGAAGTGGGTGTATTAAATGGCAAAAATCTTTTTCTTCTTTTGATGTTACCCTTTTAGTTTCTGTAAGTGCTAATGATGTTAGCAAAGTTGTTTGATGATCACATTCCTTCTTACTAATGTATTCTCTTTAAAACATTTGAAATTGCCATATCACCACAATCATTTATTAAGTTACAAATACTTTGTTTAGGCAACTCTGACTGATAATGGACTGCATCTTCTCCATCTTTTATATTATCTTCACAAAGGGTTTTTATTTCTTATTTAATATGGCCTTAAGTCATCATTCACAGACTCTTCAGGCCAACCATTCTTACAGTACTCATATACTTTTATTAAGCACTCATCTTTTTGTGTTTCTCTTTTAATATCATTCACATTTATATTGGAGTTATCCATGATAGTGAAGAGTACAAATACATCTTCTGGTACATAGCTCAGGCTTTGGTTTTTTTTAAAGGTAATCTACTAAGACTATCTGCACTATTCTCAGATCCAGGTTTGTATTTCAATTCATAATTGTATGCAGTTAGTGTGATAGCCCATCTTTGAATTCTTGGTGAGGCATGCTCAGGTAGGGTTTTGTTTTCTCCAAATAAACCTAGCAATGGTTTATGATCTGTAATGATGGTGAACTTCCTACCAAACAGAAACTTATGAAATTTCTTAACACCAAAAATGATGCCTAAGCCTTCCCTATCTAACTGAGAATAATTTTTCTCAGCCTGGTTCAAAGATCTACTGGCAAAAGCAATGGGTCTGTCACCCTTCTCATCCATGTGGGACAAGACTGCTCCTACACCATCTGGTGAAGCATCACATGTTAATATAAGTCTTTTCCCTGGGTCATAGTGAGTTAGTAAGGTGTCAGAAGACAAAGCCTCTTTTGCTGAATTAAAAGCAGCTTCTTGTTGTTTACCCCAGTGCCAAGTTGCATTTTTCTGTAGCAGCTTGTACAGTGGTGATAGTTTACCAGACAGATTTCCTATGAACTTTGCATAGTAATTTATCAAGCCCAAAAAAGCTCTTAGTTGTTGGGTATTTTCAGGTTTGGGTGCTTCTTTAATGGCTTTTGTTTTCTCAGGTTGAGGTCTGATGCCTTGTTTGCTTAATATATAACCAAGAAAACTAATTTCTGTCAGCATGAATAGACATTTATCTTTGTTTATCTTTAAACCTTTTTCACCAACAATTTTCAAGACTTTATCAAGTGTTTTAAGATGTTCAGTGTCATTCTTACCAGTTATGTACACATTGTCAAAGTACACACAAACATTTGGAATATCCTTAAAAATACTGTCCATGACAGCTTGGAAAATTCCAGGGCTAGATGATATGCCAAAACATAGTCTTTCATATTGGTAGAGTCCTTTATGTGTGTTTATTGTCGTATAGACTTTTGAATCTGGATGCAGTTCTAGTTGAGTGTAAGCATGACTAAAGTCTAATTCAGTGAATTTGTCTCCTCCTGCCAAATTCAAAGAAATTTCCTCAATGTTAGGTATAGGGTACCTATTTAGCTCTATTTGCTTATTCAGTGTAGTTTTGTAATCTCCACAAATTCTTATAGAACCATCCTTCTTTAACACTGGCACAATGGGTGTCGCCCAATCGGAATAGTCTACCTTCTTTATAATGCCATTAGATTCCAATCTACTTAGCTCATTTTCAATTTTATTCCTCATTGCATAAGGTGGAACTCTAGCTTTGCAGTATCTTGGATTTGTGTCTTTAATGCTTAACTTCACTGTTCTATCATTTAGTAATCCTGGATTACCAAAAACACATTTATTTTCAGATATAACTTTATCTAGTGAAGTAAGACTAGATTCCTTTACATTCTTCAATGAACAAATACTCTCCCAATTTAACTTAAGATCACTTAACCAGTTCCTACCTAGTAATGGCGGTCCATTTCCTTCAACCACAAGAAGAGGAAGTTTAACACTTTGACCATTATAACTTACATGAACCATACACTCTCCTATTACCGGAACATTGTCACCAGTGTATGTTGTTAGACACTTGTGACATGGCTGTAGAGGCACTGATCCTCCTATGACAGCGTCAAAATCTTTCTTTGTTATGACTGTTAGAGATGCTCCAGTGTCCAGTTGGAAGCTGATGCTCTTACCGTTGATATAAACTGGTACATTGATGGGAGCATGACTTATTGATTTCACAGAGAACAGGTTGAAATCCGGCTGCGAATCAGTTTGAGCATTTTCACAGGTAGAGTGGTTCATTGGTTGGGTTAGGTAGTCTTGGTGAGAGTTAACATAGTGCTGCCTTTGGTTGTGGTACTGTCTTGACTGGCTAGATTTAGCAACAGACGAAGACTTTGCAAAGCAGGCCTTGGCAATGTGACCTTGCTCACTGCACTTATAACAAGTTGCAGACTTGAACTTGCACTGATGAGATGCATGGGGACCTTTGCATCGATGACATTTTTGATAATTATTACTAGATTTAGATCTAGGATTTGAACGAGCAGGCTGTTTAGCATAAGTTGGAATGCTCTGATGGGGTTGATGTTTATTGACTAACCTGCTGTTTACTGCATGGATCCCTGAAGGCGTAAGAGATTTCGCCGCATCTGATGACTGCTGGAATGACATTGCAAGTTGTATTGCTTTTTCTAATTTTAGATCTGACTCGAGCAGCAACTTTCTTTGAATATCAGGGCTGTTTACACCTGTCACAAACTTTTCACATAGTCTGTCAGACAGCGTTTCTCCAAATTCACAGAATCTACTTAAATGACGTAAAGCAGCAACATATTCTGATATTGACTCGTTTGGTTGACGAGTCCTACTGTCAAATCTAGCTCGACATAGAAACTTTGATGGGGTAGGCGCATGGTGGTCTGTTAGCAATTTGCTCAGCTCGTTAAAGCTCTTGGTATTTAGACTAGCTGGAGCGCATAAGTCCTTTAGTAGCCTAAATTGTTGAGGCCCTATGACTGTTAACAAAACAGCTCTCTTTTTGGCTTCTATCGTCACGTCGTTAGCTTCTAGGTAAAAGCTTAACCTCTCTAGGTAATCTTGAATGATTTCATCATTCGCATCAAATTCTTTTATTTGGCCATACAGCGCCATAATTCTAGAAATAATTAGCTAATAAGCTCTAGCAAACCTCTTTTTTGCGTAATTAGGTGCTCTTTCTAGTAGATGTTTATCCTTCGTCGCCAATATAATAGATTGACGAGGAAGCCACATTGGTGTTAACAGTCTTTATTTACAGACGCCATGTTGGTAAGAGCCGAAGTGACGAGATACACATAATACACATAAACATGTAAGGGACATCACTCAAGATTATCTCAATCTATTACAATTTCTTTTACATGAACTGTGAAATACGGTATCTCAAATTTTGCGCGTAACTCAAAGCGAAATATTACTCGCACAACTGCTCGTATTTAAAAAATCTGGTATGTCGAGGCACTAGAATGTTGAGGTACCACAGGATCTACTATGTATTGAAAGAAAACATAAATTAATTATAGATTAATAGGCAAATATAGTAATAAAGTATAGCTTTAGATTTTATTCAGCCTACTAATAAATAATTAAATAGGCCTAAAGTAGTACTAGATATTAGTTAAATCACTAGTATTGTGTAGGGTTATTTTTATTAAAAAAACAGATCACATCTTATACATTAAGGCGGGCTCAATAAAATAAAAATAATTTATTTAGGACCTAGGCCTATCTTTTGGAGATCTAAAATTCTAAATGAAAAATAAATTATTAATTAGACCAACAATAGGCATAGTATGCTAAATCTATTTTAGTATTTAAATTTAAGGCTCGGCCATCTACTAAAAATTTTATAAATGTCATAAAATGGCCTACTTAATTATAATTACTAATTACTATTAGGCCTAAGTTTAAACTAGAGATAGCCTATTTTATTAGTAGAAAAAGTATTAGCCATAGTTAAGATGGTATAGTCTTATGTAAATTAATGTAATCAGTGTTAGATATTATGATATCGATCAAGCATTTATTATATAATATCGGAAAGGGGCCTAGCACTCTCTTAGTCATTAGTCTATTAGGTCTTACAAGGAGTTTAGCCTATTTATATATTATATAGGCTGTTATTTAAATTAGGCCAAAGGCTTATTAGGAAAAGGCTTAATAGGCTTTAGTTTTTAATTAGGCAACAAGGCAGAGGCTTAATGTTGCTTAGGCCTATAGATTTAATTTGAAATTATTATGATATACGCTACTCTGCGACTATCACTATAGACTGCTATAGAGTAAATTATAGCCTAGGCCTATCTAAATAAAATAATTCAACTCACTTAGCTTACTATAATTTTTAAAAATGTTTAGTTAAGTATTCAGCTCTCTATGTCCGCTAAGGCCCATAATTGTAATTATCCTACTGTTAGATCTATTAATTATTTAATAATTAGTAGGCCTAATTATAGGAATTAGGTCTGATACATTAAGTCCTATACATTGGTCGTAGAGTAATACTATTGGGCTAGTAATTATATACAATATCTATACAAGCCTACTTATCGCTAATTTGGAAGTCTTTGCATTGACCTTAGTTTTCAGATTTAGCAGCCTAATTTTTATCAGATTATACCATAAAATCAAAAGTAGACTTGTAGATCTTTTTAAAACAAGGCATGAAATATTAATTTAAATAATATAAATTAAACAAATAGCCTAAATAACAACTACACAAAGTTAAAGTCATAATAACTTTTTATAAAGGTATCTTGAATTTCAACTGGAGGTAGTTTTGATAAATATTAGTATTCTGAACATTAAAATAGGTAGACTTAACATAAATTTGTTCTGAAAACATATTTAGAAATTGGTTTTAAAAAATGAGGTTAGGATTGGGGTGATAACTAGTTGAGGATTAGATATGATATTCATTGTGTTTATCCATGTTGTAATTTCTCTTTTACAGGTTCATCCAAAAAAAAGGGAAGATCTGATTTTTACCAGTAATAAGACTACAGCATACTAAATGACACAAGATGTTCTTTCTCTATTACCTCTTACATTTGACATAAAAGTAGGAAAAGGTATGACAATTATTAATAAGCTGCTTTAAATTTTATAATTTGTTTTTTTATAACTTAATTGTACCACTTTTATTTCCAATGATGATAAATATAATTTAGTGTCATTTATTTTTTAAATATTTATATTATACTTATACTAGATATAATTTACTTCTATAATATTACTATCCAGGTTTAACAGTCTATGCCTACAACATGGATCTCCAGGACTAAAAGTGCACAAAATGGCAATCAGTATATCACAAGTGTTATAACACATGCATCTAATCTGCTTCAGTGGCGAGAACTGGGTGAATCCTCTCAAACATTAATCAGGTAAGTTATCACAAGTTTGCTTTGGTTTATTTTGAACATGTTGATTGAGATAGATTTTTATTTGTATAAATATTGTATTTAAAAAATATTTTACCTAGTAAAACCAAGTCAGTGGTGATGATTGATACAATATCATTATGTATTTTTTTAAATATTTGTTTTGCAAAATATGCTGATTTGCAGGAAGGATATATATATATATATATATATATATATATATATATATATATATATATATATATATATATATATATATATATATATATATATATATATATATATATATATATATATATAAAACAGTATCATTTAGTGGTTTGTCTTACAAATTTGAATTATTTACTTAATCTGTCTTAACTGCTCAACAGGAACTAGGCATACCTAATGAGCGTCAAGCTGATACAGTAGATGTACATAAGAATTTTTACACAAGGTAAATATTGATAAATTTTAAGTTTTCTTTTTTTAAGGATACATGTAGTGTTTTGGGAGAAAGGAATTAAATTATTTAAATTAGGCCTAATAGTTTATTTCTCTAGCTTATGTTTCACTTAAAATAACTTAAATTTTTCCCCCTTTATCACTAAAGCAAAATTTTATAGATATCTATGCCATGATTCATCTCATTCAATCACTTTTTTCTTGTTTTGTTTTGATGTATTAAACTAATCTAAACTAAAGATTTTTTTTTTTGCTAATTTTATTATTTCAGATGGATGATTAAGAAAATCATTTTGTTTTGTTTCAGGAAGTGAAAAGTGATGTAAAAGGCAACTAATACTTCCATCTACCATAGTTAAACAAGAATCTGCAAATGGTGATAATTGCAATAATCTTGATATATTAATGTTTGGCTTTATAATTATATGCAATTGTTTCATAAATAAATTATTTCTCAAAATTTGATGTATTTGGTTTTCTTACTTCGTACATAAGATGCAAGTGATTGAAAGCTGAAAAGGGTTGTATGTAGTTATAGTATTCCCAGCACAAGTTGACATTAAAACAACTGAAGCCCTTTAAAAAAAAAAAACAAAAAAAAAAAAAAATAATCTAGGAATGCTGTTTCTATTAGCTGAGCATATATTTGGAAAATAACTTAATTGTTTACCAGAGAATACTGTGAACCAGTTTGTACTCCAGGCAAAAAGTGTCTATGGTTAATATTATTAAGTTAAAGAAAAGTATCAAACAAACAGGATAATATTAATAAGCAAGACCTCCACACTAGAGAAGTATGGAATGAGTGTTGCATGGAATTCAAATCAACTTTGATGTTGCTAATTGCTACACTGGCCATAATTGGCCTACATTGATTTTTGCTGAGGTAGGCAACTGTTTTTGTTTAACTTTAGATGTCGACTAAATAAAGAAGAAAACTGACACGCCAATACCAAAATCAAGAACTTGTAAAGTTCGTGGTTGCTAAACCGAGAAGTCCTGAGTTCAATCTCCCGTGTAGATGAGGCTCTATAGTTGGGGATAGCAACCTATCTTGGGGATACAACACTTGTTCTTGGATTGACAAAAGATAAGAAAAGAAATCCAGAAAGAAAAGCAGCTGAACGAAGAAGAAAAAGGCTGGATATATTCGGTATCAACTGTACAATTTTAACAGACACACATTTCAAACTACACATGCATTTCAATGACAAAGTTCAGTGAAGCCATAATGTTGAGTTTGACTGAATGAAGAACGATATTGTTATTTCAAGCAAAGTTAAGGTTTATTGTCTTAAAGACATTGTCGTGGATTGATTTAGACTAAGACTTCCCTGTTAAATAAGCCGACAACGATGGCTCTTTTTATTTCTCGTCTTTGATGTTGCTTTCAAGAACTTGTATGAGATTAGATTACCTACATACATAAGGCTACACAGTTTGGAATCTTGGCTTTCTAATAGTGGACCTGGCTACATGACATTACCCCCACCCAGTGGCGTAGCGAGGTCGGGTGTCACCCGGTGCGGCACTTAATGGTGTCACCCCCCCAGAGGCATAGAGACCCTTCCCAGGGACAAACTTTCAAATTTTCGATTTGCACCCCCCCTCGAGTTTTCGATTTGCACCCCCCCCCCTCGAGTTTTCGATTTGCACCCCCCCCCTCAAGCTTTCGATTTGCACCCCCCCTCGAGTTTTTTGCTATATATATATTGCTATATATTTTGCTATTTTTTGCCTTGGTGTCACCCCCCTAAATGGTGTCACCCGGTGCGGTCCGCACCCCCCGCCCCCCCCTCGCTACGCCCCTGTATATATATATATATATTTATAGCTACATTTGGTGACTTCCCATTTTCCCCAATGGCGTCAAATTTTGCACATAATCCACCTATTAATTCATGTGAAAAAAAAGCATCGTTTTCATCGTAAATTATTAGATTTTGGTATCAGCCTCTCTCCGGTCGTCGCTTAGCAAATCTGTTATCCAAAAATTCAACAAGCATGTATTCACCTGTACATTTTGCAGTTTGTGTCATCTCCCCTCACCCCCCCCCCCCCCCTGAATGATAGTTTTTAAACGTGCACAGTTAATTGTATATTTTTTTTATCTGCAGTCAGTTATTAGTACAGTTAACTCTCATTAGTCATTTATTGAACTGGCAAAATGCTTACTTCTTCTATATATTTTGCTATTTTTCGCCATGGTGTCACCCCCGAAATTTTGCCACCTTGCGCAGTCCTCAGCCCCGCCCCCCCCCCCCCAACCTTGTGACGCCTCTGGTTAGGGGTACTACTTGAGTACAGTAAATATGTATATGTATATATATATATATATATATATATATATATATATATATATATATATATATATATATATATATATATATATATATATATATATATATCGGGGGGTATAGCCCCTTGGCACACCTTGTACCTACGCCACTACATAATCATGTTCTTAAGATTATATAGCACATTCTATGTATAAATTCGATAAAAATAGCTATTACGTATTCTGCAATTTTATATTTGTAATAACATATTGTAAACGAAATGAGTCTTAAATTCGATTAAAAAATGGGCCTTTATATTATGTATTTTTTCTATTTTGCAATCATATCATGTATTACTTGTTGTATAGCCTAGATTCTATAATAATATACTAATATATTCTATCGTGCGGCGTCAATTCGGCCAATGACGAAACGGCCCCGTCAAAACGACCCCGAAAAAACGGCCCCGTCAAAACGACGACGTCAAATCGGCCCCGTCAAAAGGGCCAGCGACATATGGACCCCGTCATATAGGCTCCCGACAAATAGACTCCCGTCATTTAGGCTACCGACAAATAGGCTCCCGTTATATAGGCTCCCGACAAAAGGGCTCCAGTCAATAAGGCTCCCGACAAATAGGCTCCCGTCATTTTGGCTCCCGACATATAGGCTCCCGTCATTTAGTTTTTTCCACAAAACGGCCCCCGTCATTACGACTCCCGACAAATAGGCTCCCGCCATTTAGTTTCTCTACAAAACGGCCCCCGTCATTACGACTCCCGACAAATAGGCTAGCGTCATTTTGGCTCACGACAAAAAGGCTCCTGTCAATTTGGCTCCAGACAAAAGGACCTCTGATAATACCGTTTCTGTAGAGACTAAGTCGCCCGGCAAAGCGGTCTCATTGAATATGACACCTGCCAGATATAGATATAGATATAGATATAGATATAGATATAGATATAGATATAGATATAGATATAGATATAGATATAGATATAGATATAGATATAGATATAGATATAGATATAGATATAGATATAGATATAGATATAGATATAGATATAGATATAGATATAGATATAGATATAGATATAGATATAGATATAGATATAGATATAGATATAGATATAGATATAGATATAGATATAGATATAGATATAGATATAGATATAGATATAGATATAGATATAGATATAGATATAGATATAGATATAGATATAGATATAGATATAGATATAGATATAGATATAGATATAGATATAGATATAGATATAGATATAGATATAGATATAGATATAGATATAGATATAGATATAGATATAGATATAGATATAGATATAGATATAGATATAGATATAGATATAGATATAGATATAGATATAGATATAGAGAGATATAGATATAGAGATCTATAGATATAGAGAGATAGAGAGATAGAGAGATAGAGAGATAGAGAGATAGAGAGATAGAGAGATAGAGAGATAGAGAGATATACATAATTGAGTCGATAGGCTGCAAGATTCTGTTATCATGTAAACATCATGTATATCATACATTTACACTTCTGTGCTCGCTTTTAAAGCAACAGATCTTTTCTGTTGTAAATTAAACATTATCAAAACTTTAGAATTGGTGGAATTTAGCTGTTAAGGGCTTGATTTGATTGTGAATTAATGTTGGTTCATGAAAAACAATTTCGTTCGGGCATTCAAAAGAATTTATAGTGGTATTGGAGGTAGGACAAAATGGTTACTTTTATGCCAATAATGGTCATTCATTGGTCTAGAGCCAATATGTCGGGAGTCATTTTGTCAAAAGCCAATATGTCGGGAGCCCAATTGCCTGGAGCCAATATGTCGGGAGCCCATTTGTCGGTAGCCAATATGTCGTGAGCCCATTTGTCGGGAGCCCATTTGTCTTGAGTCCTTATGTCGGGAGCCAATATGTCGGGAGCCGCTTTGTCGGGAGCCAATATGTCCTGAGCCTATTTGTCAGGGGTTAATATGTCGGGAGTCCATTTGTCGGGAGCCTAAATGTCGGGAGCCCATTTGTCGGGAGCCTATATGTCGCAAGTCAATATGACGGGAGCCCATTTGACGGGAGCCAATAAGTCGGGGCCCTTTTGACGGGGCTATTTTGACGGGGTCGGTTTGTCGGGAGTCGATTTGACGGGGTCATATTAACGGGGCCGTTTTGACGGGGCCGATTTGTCCCAGGTCGTTTTGACAGGGCACCATATTCTATATTACATAATCCTATATTATATCGTTTAGTAATCTCTACCCTAATGTTTTCTGTATACCGAATAATCAATATTCTGTAATTCTAAATTGTGTATAAATTAATCATACAATCTCTAAAATTAATCATAACTATGATCACAATTAAATTCAGCAATCCACTGTATTAATTTATATTGCTAAAAATAATTTAATTTTCAATTTTAAAGACAGAAGATACATTTTTTATAATATTAATTATTATTAGCTCTGTAAAATGAATGGTTGTTTAATTTTTCTTATATTAAATATTTTAAGCGATTAATTAATCGAAATGGTTTTATTCCGTTAGCTAGTTTTTACAGTTTATAACTATAATTAGAGTCTCAACGACAGAATCAAATGAGAAAAAATCTATAGCGTTATTATATACCGACACTGTTGATAAGCCACTCAACGACAGTGTCGTTGAGAATAGTGTAGGATCGGCTGCCTTTTCTCGTCCAAGCTCTAAACTTATTCAGCACAAAGGGCAGTTATCCTCCCCTGTCGACCCACTGATTGTCTCACTTTAAATCTCAACCAGTTGAATGTGGCATTTGGTTTCACAAACATAACATATAGAGACACACTATGTATCTCTATTGTCTTTCTCACTTGGCCTCTCTCACTCTGTCTCTCTCCGGGGCGAACTGTTAATTTTGCGCCTCCCCTATTTTTTAACAGTCACTGTATTTAAACAGTTTTTATTTAGTGTCACATTATCGATTTAGGAAACAGTTTAATCAGTCTGTTAACCCAAGTAGTAGTCTTAAAGTTGACAGTAAATAATAAAATAGTGCATCTCAAAACTAGCAGTTTATTTGTATTGCTACCCCTTTTGGCGCCCCAACCGCCCTCCCCTAGCTACGCCACTGCTCTCTCTCTCTCTCTCTTTATATATATATATATATAT